TGGGTTATGGCCCATAGTCAGGCTGAATGTGGCTAAATGTGCCGATTCTCAACCAGAATCGGGCCAGATCCACAGACCCAAAGCCTAGCCAAATCCGGCAACCATTACTGGGCCAGAGCCGGCTCACTTCTGGCGAGCCGCTGCCGACACACAGCCGAGTGAGCCGACACTCAGCCGCAACCGGCCCGATTCCGCTGGCTACCTGGGATGTGCTTCGAAGTCTGAATCAAAAGATTCGCCAACCCGCTCCGAAGTCCCGATCTGAATCAAATGATTCACGATGCGTGCTCCAAAGTTCCGATCTCAATTAAATGATTCACGGCCCTGCACCGAAGTCCCAATCTGAACCAAATGATTCGCGAACCTGCTCCAAGGTTCCGATCTAAATCAAATGATTCGCGAACCCGCCCCGAAGTCCCAATCTGAATCAAATGATTCACGAACCTGCTCCGAAGTCCCAACCTAAATCAACTGATTCGCGATACGCGATTTAAAGTCCCGATCTGAATAAAACGATTCGCGATTATTCATTATTATTTCAGTTAATGTAGAATAATTGCGTCCTGGTACTCTCCAAAATGGTGGAAGACGGTAACTCTGGGAGAATAATTGTTAAATAAAATATGTTATTTTAGTTTTCTTTGCGCACAAAAAGCAACTGATGTCACATGGACTGTTTTACCAAAATTCTTACTACGTTTCTGGACCTGGAAACATTTCAGTTTTACGTTGCTGTCTAGGGTCAGAAAGCTCTCAGATTTCATCAAAAATATCTTAAAGGGTTAGTTCACCCAAAAATGAAAATTAGGCTGCGTTTTACTCACCCCCGATGCATCCTAGGTGTATATGACTTTCTTCTTTCAGACGAATCCAGTCGGAGTTATATTAAAAATTGTCTTTGATCTTTCAAGCTCTATCATTTCACTCAGCGGGTGTTGCATTGCTTCAGTCCAAAAGACGTGAAATAAAAAGCACCCTTCCACAAAAAAAAAAAGTGTCTCACACAGCTCCGGGGGGTGAACAAAGGCCTCCTGTAGCGAATCAATGCGTTTTTGTAAGAAAAATGTCCATATTCAAAACGTAACAATCACTTTAATGTAGCTTGCGCCAACAGTTGTACAC